ACACCAACACATCACAATCAAATTGCTCAAAACCAGTAATAAAGAAAAAATCTTAAAAGTAGCCAGACAAAAAGCACATTGTATACAGAGAAACGAATTCAGAGGGCAGAAGAGTTCTCATGGGGATGGAGGGAGAGCGCTAAGTACTGGAAGAGAAAACCAGTGAGAGTTCTGTACGATGTTTCAGTACTTTGCTGATACAAAGGGGAAGATTTTGCTGGTGGCCTCACCACTAGGCTAGCAAGCTAGAGGCTAAGTTTTAGTCATCGTCAGTGATGACGGGGTGGTTCCGGAGAGATGTTTAAAAGCGGTAACTCAGTTGTCCTGCGTTTGTGTAGTACAGTTGTTAAGCATTCAACAGAAATAGCATGACAGGAACACTCTGCTTCATCAAGCTTCAGCTTTTCAAATCCCTCAAGGGAGTCCTGCTGGTAAAACCCAAATACTTGGGACTTGCAAGTGGCTGAGAAAGGCCTGCATTGTTTCTGATTTCCCCAAATGCCCTCTCCAAAAGCAAACAAACGAAAAACAAGTGAAAAGTAAATTCTGCACAAAACTGTGTTGTCAGCATCACTCGGAGAATTTTAGAACTGCAAAGTAACTAAGAGGAAGGTCACCAAATGCCAGTGTGTGATCTCTCGTACCCGCCCCCTGCAGCGACCCCACCTCAGTGAGCAAAGGGAGCTTGAGAAGAACTGGGGGGCAGGAGAGAGGGGCTGGCGCAGGCCCTAAGATTAAATCTTAATGTCCAAGGTATAAAACATCCAAGAAATAAAAATAAAATTTTAAATATCTCAATACTATGTAAAGTAATAAGAGAAAAGTCAATCTATCCAGAGCTACTGCAGAAAATCAGGAGATAAGATTTCACACACATGAGCCAAGGACCTCGCCCCCCCTCCACGAGGCTCTATTACAAATGTGTAACATAACTACCCTGGAAGGGATCAGGAGTAAGAAACACCTCAGCAAATTCTGAAAACAGTCAATATGCTGACTGCACCCTGTAAGGCTGAAGACAACAGGAACTGTACTTCTCACAGGGCCACGGCTTGGAAATGCAGTGACTTCAGGTGTCTACCAGGACTGAGTAAGTCGCAGTGAGTCTGCGTGCGGAGAGGGCCCGAGACCAACTCCGACAGCAGGGAGCACCCCTGCTGACCGGCCCTTGGCTTCTGGGTAGCATTCTCCAATACAAGAAAATGGAGTTTGTTGGAGAAGTAGTTGATTTCAGGGCAGGGACAGTAAGATGAGCCTAAAATAGCCTGTGGTGTCAGAAAATGAGCACTTGAGAAAGGATGGCGACTTTCACAGAGACACAGAACCCAACCTAATGATGTTCCTAATCTCTAAAGGCTGATGGCTCCTTGAGTAACAAAATAAGAAATGATAGTATTTATTGTAACTCACAGACCAAATAAACATCATGAGTCTACACTGATCTAAACAACTGAAAAAATAAATTGGGGTGGGGGAAGGACAGCTTTTCCTCACAGGCAAATTCTAAGTAATAAATGTAGAAGGAATGAAAGACATACACAATCATCATCAAACACACACAAGAATCATTTCAGGCAAGATCTGCTGATGGGTGCTGAAACCAGTGAGCGAAAGTTTTAAGAGAAACAGGTGTTTCCATACTGTCAAAGAGCTCCCTCCATTGTAAAGGAAAAACAGTAACTTTACAGTGGAGAAACCCAGCAGAGGCCACCATAACCAAGTGAAGGGCATGACCCGTAGGAGACCTGTCATGTACCCCCAGATATGAGGCAATGATGATACAGCACTCCCGCGGCACTCTTAAAAAACTGCATAACCTCAATCTCATCAGGAGAAAACAGCTGATCAACCGTAATTAAGACGTGTTCTTCCAAGTAGCCAAACAATACTCATCAAAATCATCAAGGTCATGAAAGACAATACTTAGGAACTGATCTAGGCTAGAAAGGGTACAGAAAACGTCATAACTAACCACGTGACATACTGGATTGGGTCCTGTGGCAGAAAAAGAACATCAGGGGCAAAAATTGGTGAAATCTAAGATTTGTGGCAGCAGTACTGCGCCAATGTTAACATCCTGGCTTTGGTAACTTTGTTATGGTTACATAAATTGTTAAACACGAGAAGCTCAATGAAGGGCACACATGAAGTCCGTACTATTTCTGCAACTGTTCCGTAAGTCTAAGTGTTGATAAATAAAAAGTTAAACAGGGGCGCCTGGGTGGCTCAGTCGTTAAGCGTCTGCCTTGAGCTCAGGTCAGGATCCCAGGGTCCTGGGATCAAGCCCCGCGTCAGGCTCCCTGCTCAGCGGGGAGCCTGCTTCTCCCTCTCCCACTCCCCCCTGCTTGTGTTCCCTCTCTCGCTGTGTCTCTCTCTGTCAAATAAATAAAATCTTAAAACAAATAGAAAGTTAAACAGCTCTATACCAAGTACTCAATCTGAACACTGTCCGTCTACCTATTTCCCAGAAGTTCTTGATGAACACTGTAACTGTTCCTAATTATTTCAGGATTGTGTGTCAGTGTGATAGAGAGATGAAGACAGAAGCCTCTTGATCCAGCCACACCTGAATTCATTTCTGGAGTTGTCAATTATAAGCTGATTTTCCTTTTCTTTTCTTCTTTTGTTAGAGTTGTGTTTTTATAATTTGTCATCAAATACCCTCTAACACACTGACTTTTATGGTCTGCTTTGTTCTAGTATTGAGGCAGGTTACAGACATTCATAGAAGAGAAAAAAATAAATTAAAAAAGTAAAATGAAAATAAAACAGCCGGAGATACAACAAAGTCAAGAGTACAGTTGCTACAGAGAGGCGTTACTGCACCCTGCTGGTGGACCGCGGTACCACCAGCAGCACACTGCCTGAAGGCTCTCTGTCCAAGTACCGTGTGTTCTACCTTACGCCATCCCTATGAGGGAAGATACCTACCTCCATTTTACACACCAGACAACTGAGGCACAGAGGAATTACCTAACTTGTCCAAAGCTAAGCAGCTAACAACGTTGGAGCAGGAATTTGAACCCCAAAAACCTAGCTTCAGAGCCTGTATTCTTAAACAGTATGCCACTAGGCTTTCAGCTTCCTGGCAATAAAAGCAAAGTGATTTACAGCAATCAGTGCTCACAATACATATACCAACGATATTCTCTGATCTCTCCGGAGACTATCAGCCCTAACTATCCTGCTGTCATTAAGATAAAAGTTCTACATAAATAACAGCAGTTGAGGAGTTCTACAGCACTCACAGCTCACGCAGGACTGTCCCCCCGCCACCGCCCCGATAGTCAAAATTCAGGCAAAGATACATGGAACCTGTAAACTCCTATTGTTTGGATTAGCTTCCTATCGCTGATGTAACACACTACCACAGACTTGGTGATTTAAACAATATAAATTCATTATCTTACACTTCTGGAGATCAGAAGTCCACCACAGGTCTCACTAGGCTAAAATCAAGATGTCAGCAGGGCTACGTTCCTTCTGGTGGCTCTAGGGAACAATCTGTTTCCTTGCCTTTTCCAACTTCTAGAGGCCACCCTCATTCCCTGGCTCCTGGCTCCCTTCTTCCATATTCACAGCCAGCAACAGCAGGTAGAGATCCTTCTAGAAATGCTGTTTCTCTGGTTTTCTCTTTTGCCCACCCAGATAACCCAGGATCATCTTCCAGGTCAGCTGTCTAGCAATCTTTCTTACTTCTGCAACCTTAATTCCCTTTGCCGAGTGACACATTCACATGCCTGGGGGGGATGAGGACAGGGCCAGCTGGAGGTCATTACTCTGCTGACGAGAAGAGGTGACACTTATTAAACATTTTATGTGGAGGTAAATACCCGATAATAAGTAACAATGATAACAGTGAAAAAGCAGTAAAGTTGATATACACAGAGCACTGGCTGGAGAACTATTCCTTTAAAAAGAAACTACTGATTATACTGGGCTGCTCAGTTACACACGTAATTATTTGTATATTCTAGCTGATATAGCTAAAATGTTCTTGGTTGTCCCAATAATACAGTGTGAAAGAAAAGTGATTCTGAGCAATAATATATGTTAAAATTATCTGAAACTTTGCTAGTTCAAAATATTTGAAAACTTGGATAATTTGTTCAGTCTTTAGAATTCTACCAGAGTTTTATATAATTAATGTCAAATTAGAGATTTTAGAGGAAGCTAAGTATTGACTTTTTACTTGAGTTCCAAGAGATTCACCAATTACTCCAGTTGTTAGAGTGAACTTGGGAAGCTTCATAACAGTACTCAATTTACTGGTCATAACTTTTTGATCTATAAAAGTTATCTGAGCTTTACCTTTAGTTTTTTAACAGGATATTTTTATTTAAGAAACCTGAAAATTATAATATCAAATGATCCTTTCTATATTTTCCCCAAATTGAATGCAGTAACTTGCAGTAACTTCTATATTTTCCCCAAATTGAATGCAGTCTGTATTCTAAAAAGCGATTTTACTTCAAAACCTTTTGGAAACCAATGACTTAGAGGTATGCTTCTTATTGTTGCTAGCATGTTGAAAATAATGTCTAGTCCACGTTTCAACTTTATTCAATGTTAACTCTGAATGCAGCCTTTTAATATAAATAACCATATGATTTAACATTTGGGAAGAAATCTCCACAATCTTGGATTCTACTAATTTGATGTATGGCTAAAAGCAAGGATTCTCAAGTTTCATTTAAGAATTGTTTTAATTTTTTTTTTTTTATCCTGGAACCCAACTCCTGGTAGAATATTTGGGGTGGATCTGGTAATACCTGGAGATAAATTAATATGAAATAAAACCAAAAATCCCTTAAAGGAGGAAAATTTTGAAATCCAGTAGTTTGATGGTTAGCCTTCCCATCCATGTGTATTCCACATAAACAGGATCATTCACACCTGGAAAATGCCATCAAACCTGCAGAAAGTATTAAATTTACAGTGATACTATAGATTCTGCCTTTATTAAATACAAATACATCAAATATGTTAAATGAGTAACTTTTAATCAAATGATACCAACTACTGAATGCTCTAAACATTTTTGAACATTTGAAGAAAATAGATATTTAAATGTCCATCTTAATATTGGCACAACTGCAACTTTAAACAGTATGTTACTTTAAAAAAGTAATCCATCAAAGAAATTTATAGGACATAAAATTAGGCTTTGAAAATTGTTGCAATTTACACTTTAACCTAATAGAACTTACTACAAAAAAACAAAAATAAGCAATATGGTGACTATTTAAGTGTTTTACCAAAGCACACATGGGTTCACTCTTCCTAGTGAAAACAGGGAAAATACATTTAAATGTTTTAGTATATGTGCTGCCGAAGCGAGCACTTAAATGTTTTATACTAAAGTAAAAAATGCATTAAATGTATCAGAGCATGAATTTAAACTGTCTTGGAAGCTTAAAAATATACACATTCCAAAATGTTATGTATCTATGAATTCAAATTCAGTTTATCTGTTATCCTGTGATCCAGTTAAGTCTTAAAGATTACTGAAAACTGGAAGTACGAACTTCAGGTAAATTATATTTTTCATGTATGGAGATCGTTTAATGGACTCTGAAACAATAAACCTCTTGGTCACTATTTTTAAAAACCCATTTAACAAAAATTTTTTAAAATAGACATGACCATTTTTTCTAATCCAAAATATGCAACTTGAAGTCTCTGAGTAACAAGTTTGAAATATAAAGTTTATAAACATTAAAATTATCTTGTATTTTTAATATAGAGAAGATGGTAATATTGTAGGAACAACAGCTGCTAGATGTGAAGGGAAGGCTATAAAGTAGCATATACGCAGCTAAATCCACTTATTTAGCCTATTTAATCATGGCATCTTGTTATTACCACAATTATTTTCTAAGTGTTGTAGAACATTCTCTGGAGGAGGGAACTCATGCTTTCCAAGGAAATTCTATATAGATCAAGAAAAGAAGGGAGAAATCAACCATAAAACATACTGATTATGCTAAATCCAATGTTCCACAGAAGTAGATACAAAAGTCCCCCCTTCTCTGCGCTCTTCCTTCCCGAGGTTTCATCAACGGCAGTCAACTGGGGTCCAGGAGCAGGCACAGACCACCCTCCTTCTGAAGTACTGCCAGAAGGTCAGCGGTAGCCTAATGCCACGTCACCTCCGACGTCACTTATCACGGGGGCATTTTACCATCTCACACCATCACAACAAGGTTAGGGACAGTGTATTTTGAGAGAAACACCACACTCACATGACCTTTATTACACTATATTGTTATAACTGTTTTATTAGTCATTGTTACTTTCTTACGTGCCTAATTTGCAGATTAAACTTTATCACAGGTTTGTGTGTATAGAAAAAAGCACAGTATATATGTAAGGTCTGGTATGATCTGTGGTTTCTGGCATCCACTGGGGATCTTGGAAGTTATCCCCTGAAGATAAGGGGGGGACTACTCTAGTTATTTATCAGTACACTCTACTATTAAACCAATCATTGTCATTAAACTCATTTTTCATATTTATGAATATCAAAAATACTCCTTTACATTAAATTCTATCCTTTGACTAAGCATATCACTAAACTCTACTACTACATCAAAACAGAAACAGGCCACTAGATATTATACATACAGAGAACTATTCTGTTTCTACAGAGGAAACCAGAATGTCATTGTGGTAAAAATGATGACAGAAAATGAAATGAACAGAAAAATCACTTAAGTGACACATTAAATCTACTTTCTTCACTGGGAAGCACCTTGGCTGGTATCATACAGGCAGACTCACAAACTGGTTTATTAATGAATACCTACAATATGAAAATCATTATTTTAAAGACAAACATGCCCAGTATAATACAGATGTTTCCCTCCGTGACAAAGGTCTGGTGGGTTTGCCTGCAGCCCGTAATAAAATATTTGGGTTCCCTCAGCATGGGGTTCTTCCTGTAATGTAACCCGTTGTATGTGTGTGTGGTTGTCTGCTGGCTCTCACTGGGTTGCCCTAGGTGCACTGAGGCTCGAGGAATGAGGTAAGAAAATAATATTCTGGCTACTGCTATCACTGTGGGAAAAGACTCTTTTGTCTCTGTCCCAGGAGGCTCAGGTCTTTTGCCAGCATTAATGAAATTATGGCAGGTTAAATTGTTAGTTTGCACATAAAATCTCAAGACCCTGAGATTTCTCATGAAGAAAAGATTTGACATTTTTTATCTTGCTTGTTCAGAATTTTATCATGTGTGGGTGGTGAATTTTATCTACTTCTGTATCTACTGAAATAAAAAGGTGATTTTTCTCCATTGTTCTCTTCATAGGGTAAATTACATTGAGTTTCAAATGTTATTTTATTTTTTTTAAAGAATATATAATTTTAATGAATCTTCCTTGAGTGTATATAAATTCGTTAAGTATTATATATTAATAAATACTAAAGAATATATATTCTGGTTTAAAGATTATACATTCACACATTACTTAAATACAGTTTTCTATTTCTCTCAAGGAACCAAAAATACGTCAGGAAAGGGATGAACAGGGTGAAAAGTCTTCATTTTTTATTTTGTTCCTCTTGAAATATTTGAATTTTCTAAACATAAATAACTTTTAAAAATTATATATGTGATTTTAATGGCAAAAAGGGTTATGTAGGCAAAGAGATCCTAGGCCTTTCAATTTGTTGGTTTATAAACTTTCTGTCTTCAACCTAATAAATGTTAAATGAATCATTCCTGAAATAAAGTCAATTTGGCCATAAAGTATTATTCTTTTTACAAATTGTTGGATTCAGTCTGCTAATACTTTCAAGAGAATTTTTGCATCCACGTTCATGAGATTGGTCTATAATTTTCCATTCCTGTGATGTCACTGGTCTGGTTTCGGTGTCACAACTATACTGATTTCTCTCGAAAACTTAAGACTGATATTCCTTCTTCCTTAAATGTTTGGGGAATTCATTAATATAGCCATCTGAGCCTGGATTTTATTTTGTGGGAAGAGTTTTATTTATGATTCAATTTCTTTAATAAATACAAGACTAGTAAGATTTTCTATACCTTCTAGTGTCTGTTTTGTTAAGTTGAATCTTCCTAGGAGGTTGCCCATTTAATAAAGAACTTGAATATGTTAAAGTCATTTACAATGTCCTCTCACCTTTTCAATGCCTAAGATTTGTGGTGATATTTCCTTTGTGAAAAATATTACCTTGTTTGTGTCTTCACTTTTTTGCTTTATCAGTTTCATCAGGGGTCTATCAACTTTATTATATCTCTTCAAGAATCAACTTTGTTGATCCTTACTGTATATTTATTTCAGTAGTTTTCACACTTACTTCCTTTGGGTTATTACTTTTGTTTTTTCTTCTAACTTCTTGAGTTATATACTCTGCTCATTAATTTTGTATCATTTTTATGATATAGGAATTTAAGGCTATCCATTTGTTTACAAAGCTCTACCAGCATCCCTTAGCTTTTGATGTGGAGGATTTTCATTATCATCCTTTAACTAAAACCTATGCTCTAGTTTTCCTTATATGATTTCTTCTTCCACTCACTGGTTATTTAGACATTTATTTCCAAACAGAGGGATTTCCTATTTATCTTTCCACTGCTGATTTGTAGGTTATTTGAATTGTAGCCAGAGAACATACTCTTTTTCAATCCTTTAGTATTTATTGAGACTTATTTTATGGTATAGCATATGGCCAACTTTGTAAACATTTCAGATGACCTGAAGAGACTTTGCAGTTGTGATGTGCTTTACATTCTATATAATGTCCAATAAGTCAAGTTCGTTATTTGGATTGTTCAAATCATTTATACCATTACTGATTATTTTTGCTGCTTCTATCAGAGAGGTATGTTATACTCTTCCATTATAATTGTAAACTTGCCAATTTCTCCTGATAGTTCTGGAAATAGTTCCTTTATATATTTTAAGGTGTTTTATTAGATGCATGCAAATTTCAAATTGTTATTTATTCTTAGTAAATTAAATATTTCTTCTTTAGTAGTTTTACTGCTTTAGAGTTTACTCTAATGTTAATATAGGATGGCTCTTTATTCCATCCTTTTATCTTTTGATATCCTAATGTTTTTAAGATGTGTTTCTAGAGATACTATATAGTTGGTTTTTATTTATTTATTTAATTTTATTTAATTTGACAGAGACACAGCGAGAGAGGGAACACAAGCAGGGCGAGTGGCAGAGGGAGAAGAAGGCTTCCCGCGGAGCAGGGAGCCCGATGCGGGGCTCAATCCCAGGACCCTGGGACCATGACCTGAGCTGAAGGCAGACACTTAACGCCACCCAGGCGCCCCTATAGTTGGTTTTTAAAAACCCAATCTGACGATCTGAGTCTTTCATAGGAATATTTTGTTCATTCACATTCATATTTAATTATTGATATAACTGGGTTTTCATCATCTTACTAAATATTTGTCCTGCCTATTCTATGTGTTCTTTTTACTCTCCTCTATTACCTACTTTTGTAGGTTAAAAAAACATTTTTATTAATCCATATCCCCATATTAGGATTGGAATGACAAATTTTTAAACATTGTGGTTAAAATATATGTAACATAAAACCTACCATTTTTGAGTGTACAGTTCTATGGCATTAAGTATATTCACACTGTTCTGCAATCATCCCCAAATTTCCAAGAGAGAGCAGAGTAATCTAGTCCTCTTGAAGACTAGGCTTGGAAAAGGCACAACTTGTCAAAGTAAGTCAAAAGGCTAGTCTAGATTCAAGTGGGTGGGAAAACAGATTCCACATCTTGATGAAAGGAGCTTCAAAGTCACATTGCAAAGGGTCACGAATGCAGGGAAGAGAATAATCATGGCCATTTTTGCAAACAGTCTATCACATATAAGCATATATTCTTTAAGTGTGTCTGATAACTTAAATATCTGGAGTCCCTGTGGCTAGTTTCTATTACCTAGAATAGGTAATATTTAATAGGAACTAATTATTTCATTTATTAGTTATTTTGGATTGTGCACTCTTATTTACAAAATAACTAGTATACACAAAATTGTTGGCAGAAATAATTTGAAGCCTAAAATGACATTACTTTGTTCCAGAGAATTCTTATCTTCATTTCTGCTAGGCGCATGTCAGAAATAACCCCATATCATTTCACTCAACTCAGGGAATAAATTCTGAAGCTGAGTTACAGTCCCTCTGAAGAACTATTTCTGGTTCATAGTTACTACTACAGTACAACCTGCTGGGGTTCCAACCCACTGCTGAGAGTTCACCAAGGCCCCATCTCCCTGGCTTCAATGTTATCAGAAGGGTCCCTTAAACGAGCTCTACCCCTTTGCAAATAATGCCAGGGGAAATATGTCCCAAACATTGGGCATATTTTCCTGAGGCTCATCTCTGTACCGTGGCCCACTAATTCATGATCACAGCAATAGCTCCCCAGTGCCTTGTTTAAACAGACATTCTTTACATTTATTCAGCTTTTCTAGCTGTTCTCTATAGCAAGTTGGCTTTAATCACCTAGACAGCTATAACTGCAAACAAATCCCCATTCACTATTTTATAACAAAGAATCCCACGTTTGTGCATGTAATTAAAACACATACACAAATTCTTTGATTCACTTTTCTTCAAGAGGGGGAGCTTAATTCCCTTCCCCTTGAGTGTGGAATACATACAGTGACTCACTTCTAAAATGTGACAGAAACCATGGAGTATGCCTAGGTCACAAAGCCACTGCAGCTTCCATCTTGCTCTCTCTCTAGAGAAGCCAGTTGCCACAATGTAAAGACACTTAAGCAGCCCCAACAAGAGGTCCATGTGGTGAGGCCCATGTGGCCAACACCCCTGTGAATGAGCCATCTCAGCAGCACATCCTCCAGTCTCAGTCAAGCCTCCTGACGACTGCAGCCCAAGCAACATCTTGACTGCAACACTGCAAGAGTTCCTAAGTGAAAACCACCCAGCTAAGCCACTCCTGAATCCTGACCTGCAAACTAGGAGATGATGAAGGTTGTTTGAGCAATTGCGCTTGGGTAACTGGTTTTGCATTAGTAGTTAATACAGTATGTTTGCCTTTTAATTTTATAATATCCTTATTTTATTACTTTAAATTTAATACTATTTTTTATTTGAAAAAATCAAGAACTTAAAAATTTTAAGTAATATTTAAATATAAAAGATATACTTGATTTACCTCTTGTTACTTCTTTCATTCCTAACTGGAAGCAGAATTTTTCAAGACAGATGAAGTCATTTCCACAATAGTATTAATAGATAAGCCATTCAGAAAACCTTTATGATTTATTCTTACTTCCTGAAGAGCATCTATAATATGGTCTCTATGCAAAAGGAAAACACACATAAGCACCTGTCTTTCCAAAGTAACACATTCTAAATATGGGTAAGTTATCACATTGAACTATATTTTTACATAAAAATATTAAAACCACTTTAAATAGAATTGTAGTCATTACCTGTGAACTTCTGGATGTAGTTCAGTCAGTCTCTTCATGATTTTGGTAAAGCTACGCAGATTCAATGTATTTGGAGGTATGAATTGAATAGGTGTATCAGGTAATAATTTAGTAGATTCAATCTGTTTACAATTCTTCTTGACACCCTAAATAAACATTTTAAAATTTTCTTAAAATCAGTGACCATTACACAGACACTTTAGCTTATTTAATTAAAATTTAAAATTACAAATGGTAAAATAAATATTCCTAAGAAATTTGCTTTGATTTGGGATTATTTATACCAAGTAGATTTACTTGAGCCATGTTCAGAGCCATGTATTTAAAAAAAAGTCACACATGTTTTCTAATAGCGACAAAATATTTGAAGTTATGTCTACATCAGCCTTTCTCAACTGGGATTCCTCATCTGAACCACAGAACACAGATGTTAACTATTTTCTCAATTTCCCCAAAGATAGGACATAATTAATTCCATTCTCAGTGCAGGAGGGAGTATAATTCACTACATACAGTGGATATCTTAGGCTTATGGCATGGAGGCTTAGTTCTCTTACCTAACCTGACAGGGAAAGGCTGCTTTACATAGTTAATTATAAATATTCTACATTTACTAAATATGTAATCATCACAGACTGTATGTCCAGAATTGGACCACATACTATGGAAGGAAAACTAGTCATATAAATTAGAAACTCCTCCACCTATGAATCTTACAATCCAATCGAACAGACAAAATTAAAATGATTAATTAAAACCATTCAAGTAGGCTATAAATTGCATGAAACCACTATATATCTCATAAAGATTCAAACTAAATGAAGAGCTGAGACTTTAAAGTCTAGATGAAAAGACAGGGCAAAATACATAAAATATTATATCTATCCCATCAGAACATTACCTATTTTACTTAATTGCTTATTGCCTTGCTTCACTAGATTTAAGCTATACACGAACACATATTTTTTGGTCTGTTTTGTTCTTTGCTGCTTTCCCAGTGCCTAGAATCTTTATGTATATAGTTGGTATGTAATAACTGCTGAATAAATAAAAGTTTGGGATACAACAGTTTAAGTGATAGTTAAAACCACAGAAAGGATGAGATTTCCAAGAAAGAGCCAAATTACTGCTCAACAACAGTAACAGCTACTATTGACTGAGTGCATTTTCTGTGCCCGGCACTGTTCTAAGGACTTTTCTGTATTAAATTCATTTAAACCTAACAACATTTGTGAAGCAGGAACTATTATTCCCATTTTAAGATAAGGAAGCTCAGACACAGAGATTAGGTAACTTGCCCAGTCACATAATAAGTAGGTAGCGGAGCCAGGTTCTGCCTCTCATGGTAGACAATAAATATTCTCTAAATAAATGAATGTAATGAATAAATGTTGAGAAGCTGAGAAAAGAAAGGTGATAATACCTCATGTATTAAATAAAAATCAACTCAAAATCTTTGTGACCATGGGTTTTGCAAAGATTTCTTAGATACAACACTAAAAGCACAAGTTAAAAAAGAAAAAAACTGATAAACTGTATTTCATCAAAATTAAAAACTCCTTTAAGACAGTATTAAAAGAAGGAAAAGACTAAGTACAGGTTAGAAAAAGTATTCCGAAGTCATATATATGTATCTTATAAAAAGTTTGTATTCAGAACATAAAAAACCTCTCAAAACTCAATAATAAGATAAACAACAATTCATCAAAGGACACTTGGGTGGTTGCCATAATTTGGCTATTGTAAATAATGCTGCCATAAAAATCGGGGTCCATGTATCCCTTTGAATTAGTGTTTTTGTATCTTTGGGTAAATACCCAGTAGTACAATTGCTGAATTGCAGGGTAGTTGTGTTTTTAACTTTTTGAGGACCCTCCATACTGTTTTCCAGAGTGGCTGCATCAGCTTGCATTCCCACCAACAGTGTAGGAGGGTTCCCCTTTTGCCACATCCTCGCCAACAGCTGTTGTTTCTTGTGTTGTTGATTTTAGCCATTCTGACTAGTGTGAGGTGGTATCTCATCATGGTTGTGATTTGCATTTCCGTGATGATAAATGATGTTAGGCATCTCTTCATGTGTCTGTTGGCTATCTGTATGTCTTCTTTGGAAAAATGTTTATTCATGTCTTCTGCTCATTTTTTAATCAGATTGCTCATTTTTTGTGATTGATGAATGGAAAAAGAAGATGTGGTATACATATACAATGGAATATTACTCAGCCATAAAAAAGAATGGAATCTTGCTATCTGCAATGACATGAATAGAGTGTATTATGCTAAGTGAAATAAGATGGTCAGAGAAAGACACTAATACCGTATGATTTCACTCATATGTGGAATTTAAGAAAAAAAATGAGCAAAGGGGGAAAAAGGGAGAGAGATAAACTAACAGACTCAACTATAGAGAACAAAGTGATGGCTACCAGAAAGGAGGTGGGTGGGGGGATGGGTTAAACAGGGGATGGGGATTAAGGAGTACATTTGTTGTGAGGAGCACCAGTTGATTTAAGAAGTGTTGAATTACCATATTGTGCCCCTGAAACTAATGTACTGTATGTTAACTAACTGGAATTTAAATGAAAACCTTAAAAAAGTAAACAACCTAATAAAAATGGCCAAAATATAAACCGGAATGAAATGCTATACACACAGCAATATGGATCAGTCTCAAATGCATTAAGCTAAGATGTCAGGCTAATAATGTTACATAATATTCATTACTATGACATTCTGGAAAAGGTAAAATCATAAGAACAGGAAAATAGCAGAGTATAAGACAATGTTCTGGAATGAAGGAACTGTTCTGTATCTTGATTGTGGTGGTGGTTACACGTCAATGTGCCTAAACTTGAAAATACCAAAAGGAGTGAATTTTACTCTATGTAAATTTTTTTAAAAATCTGTGGAACTCCAGGGCACCTGGGTGACTCAGTTAAGCGACTGCCTTCAGCTCGGGTCATGATCCTGGAGTCCCAGGATCGAGTCCTGCGTCGGGCTCCCTGCTCAGCGGCGAGTCTGCTCCTCCCTCTGACCCTACCCCCTCTTGTGCTCTCTCTCTCACTCTCTCTCTCAAATTAAAAAAAAATCTTAAAAAAATAAAATAAAATTAAAAAAAAATCTGTGGAACTCCTATAGGACCCCAGGCACACTGCTGAGCAGCGGAGAGATGAGAGTAAAAGGGGCAACCTCATCATTTTCCATGTAGTGTTTAAAACCCTGATGAGGTAAAATTGAGGGCATGTATATAATAAAATGACTATATTTTATGGTTTTAATAATTATGAGCCAAGATTAACTGTGAGAAAGGATGAGAGAGTAATTAACTACTTACACAGGAATACTATCCACGAATAGGTACAAAAAAGACTGCAAAGCACTGGCAAAGAGTCTAGTTAAAGATAAAGAGAAATAATCTATAGCCAGACCTACGAAGATCTACATCCCCCACTCCTCCAAGAGCAACTGGAGTTGTAAAAAAAACAAGTTAGGGTGGATCCAAGGTTAAAAAGGATACAGATTAACATTCTCATTTCCACTTCAAGCTCCCTGATTTTGGAGTTACTTGTTCTACAAAGCTACTTACTGCAGTATGGCCTATACAAAGACCACTGAAGGGATCCATCAAGAAAACTAACCTTCTGGTCAAAAGGAAAAAACTCACTGTCTTGCTCAGATCCCAGCTGCCTTGGCCTAGTTCTGGGCAATCTTGAAATAGAGGAGACTGAGCTGATTTCTTTGTTGGTGCTTCTCTCCAAATTATTCCAAGTAACTTTATTTCCATTTTTGTAGGAAAGTGGTGATGTATATTCTCCAGGAGTTTTAACAAGCCGCACATTTACTGATTTTCCATTTATTTCTATCCCATTCATTTCTTTCACAGCCATCTTTGCATCAATGTTTTTTTTAAAAGCAAGGGATGCATATCTAACATATAAAAAGCAGAAAGCAAAGGGCTGTTAATGACTAAATTGCCTGAGACTTCACTTTATAACTACTGGATACATACATATCTTTTACAAGAATAGTTGCCCTTAAAAATAAAAAGGTCAATATACTTACCTTGGGATTAGGAAGAATATTCATTTAGAATAACTAAATAAAAAGAAATTAGGGGAGCCTGGTGGCTCAGTTGGTTAAGCATCTGCTTTTGGCTTAGGTCATGATCTCAGGGTCCTGCGATCGAGCCCTGCATGGGGTTCCCTGCTCAGTGAGGAGCCTGTTTCTCCTTCTCCCTCTGCCCCCCCACCCCACTCCTGTTCTCTCTAAAATAAATAAACAAAATCCTAAAAAAAAAAAAAAAGCAAATTAGGGGTGCCTGGGTGGCTCAGTGGGTGAAGCGTCTGCCTTCGGCTCAGGTCATGATCCCAGAGTCCTGGGATCAAGCCCCATGTCGCATCGGGCTCCTTATTCAGTGGGGGGCCTGCTTCTCCCTCTCCCTGCCGCTCCCCTTGCTTGTACTCTATCAAATAAATAAATACAGTCTTTAAAAAAGAAACAAAGATGGGAAGTAAAAGACAGCATTTCTTATGCTCTTCTATTTAATTTATATTAAAATTTGATGTAAAACATTTGCAAAGTTGCTCTATGACAGAGTAACACAGATTAGTAGTCTTAGGACAATTGGTTATCTATTCTAAAAAAATTAAAATTAATCTCTATACACAAAACATAACCTCAAGGTGGATCAAAGGCTTCAATGTGAAAGGCTAATTTTAAAAACATTTGGCAAAGTAAGATAATGTCCACAGGACCTTGTCGTGGAAAAATAACAGGACCAAAAAAGAAGTTGGAAAATCTAACCAGAATTTTAACCATCTGATTGAGAAAGTTAGGCAAGAGTCATCCTTCTGAAATCACCAGCCCTAGATATGTCAATGGAAGGACATACACCAAATCTGAAAAGGAGTTGTTTTCAAAAGACAGAACTATGGCTATATTGTTATAAGTTCCTCTGTTTTTCTTTTAAAATGTGTTTTCTAAATTTCCACACAGAATGTATAATACTTCAAGTAATAAAAAAGCAAAATTTTTTAAAAAAAAGGATTCAACAAATACTAAAAGAATATTTCACATCAAGTAATACTTCCAGGATCACAAAAGCTCTGCGAAATGGCCCTTGACTTTACCGCCACTGTGGCTGGTGTCCACGACACAACCCCTGGCACACAGCACACACCCAGTAAATGCACCTTACTGAATTTGGGAAACCTACCTATAATTAGTAGAAGAATCGTAAATTGAAATTTCAGAAACTTGGTATTTCTGGAAATGAGACCTTAAATCAGCCTGAAAGAAAAATAAAAGTTTGTGAAAGGTAGAAAAAACAAAAAATAATCAAAATATGAACAATTAATAGATTTTAAAATGAAACTCAGAAAATAAGTCCTGGCATACCTCAGATACTGAAGGGCAGAGACCACCAACATGTATCAAATAACCTTTATCTTTTCGTAAAGGTTCAATATTCTTCATTTCTGCTTGTAGAGAAACATAATATGTGACTATTATTGATATTTTAAAAGAAATGTGAAAAAATTTTATTATCATAAAGCTTATTACAGAGTTATTACCGAACATCAGAACTAGTCTGAAGACCAAGAGCCTAGAGTATAGTTTTAAGATTTTAAGGCCTTAATCATATCATCTTCAGAGACTGGACTGTAGCTCAAAAATGGGTCAATAACATCTCATCAGGACAATCAATTACATCACAATTAAGAAAGGAGTCTCTCATTTGTCTTTGGTTCAAAGACATGCTATCTAGGAAGCTGGATGTGCAGAGGACCCCCATGTTAATCCTGGCTAGGGCTTATGTATATTCCTGTGCTAGGGAAACACCACACCAACAAAACCTTGAAATCAGAAAAATATCAATAGCAGGTATATAGTCTGTTAATGGTAATGGCACCTTAGAAAAAAGGGGGGGGGTACAAGCTACTTGATTTACATAGCACTTTTTGGGAACCACAAATAGTAGGATTACAGATATAGTTTTTTCCATTCTCAGAATGCATGTTCATAGTCTCCATTTTGAAGAGAACTTGCTCTGAAATCAAAAAGGATTCACTGAATTGAAATTCTTTCTGTTTACTGTCAAAACCAATACCTGGCACATGGGTAGTACACAATAAATATTTGGTGCATGAATTCTTAGTTTTAATTTATTTATTTTATATTTTTATATAATAATGGGATGGTTGTTAAGCTTTAGTTTTTTCACTCAATAATAGCCTCACCCCTCCTGAGTGCCCCTCACACTGCAGGCAGGACGCCCAGCACTTCACCCCACAAATCTAGTTCAGTGGTGGCGCTACAATGCAGGCAGACTCCGTCATCTCTAGGCAATAATAACCCAACCTTCTTCATTAACTTACTTCCTTTAGCTTGCTTAATCTCTTTGGTTTATAACGTACAGTCATAGAGAAGACAGTGAAACTATTTATCTGTATACTTCTACACTGGGGTGTGGAGCAGCAAGAAGCTACAGCAAATAAGCATTAGGAGACATACATTCGACTCATCCCCTTTACCTTGCACTAGTTCAATACAACAAGACTACTAACTACCCCATGGGCAGAACACTGTATGTAGCACTAGAGATAGGTGGTGAACAAACTATAAAAAAAATCCAACCTCACTGAGCTAATTATGTGATGTGGGAAGGCAGTCCATAGATCAAGTAAGGTAAGTACACAGTATGTGCTAAGTGATATGGACAAAAATAATGCAAGGAAAAAAAGTAGTTATGATAAAACTAGATGATAAAATGTCATTTACTTTAAACTGTATATGTGTATGAAATATATGCATAAAATACATAAATGAATGGTAACAGTTGTTACTGCAGACTGGAGAACCTTCAGGTAATTTAAATTTTCATTTTCTTATATTTTGTTTAAAAATCTTTTTTTAAAAAGATTTTATTTATTTGAGAGAGAGAGAGAGAGAGAGCACAAGCAGGGGGAGAGGCAGAGGGAGAAGCAGGCTCTCCACTGAGCAGGGAACCTGATGTGGGACTCGATCCCAGGACTCCAGGATCATGACCTGAGCTGAAGGCAGATGCTTCACCGAATGAGCCACCCAGGTGTCCCTGTTTAAAAATTTTAATAAGCATTATTTATGCAAGCAAAAAAAGCCCAATAAAACCATTGCTATTATATCAAATAAAAATCCATGGAAGCATACAGAAATGAAGTAAAGGAAGGTACCATATATTTAGAAATGATAGAAGGGCAATGATCACAGATACTAGAGGAAATTCCAACTATTATAAGCAATTTAAGACTACAAAAGGTGAAAACATTAATCATTTGATCTATTTCAGGAAAGTAAGGGAAAGAGGACTATTTGGATCCCTCATGCCAATGTGACAGATCCACTGAGGGTTCAGAGGAAGAGAGTGTCCAGGAAGAGCACTGGTGTTGGCCCAGAATGGCAGGAAGGACTCGGATCTCTACTGCTAACTAAATCTGGGATTTAAGCTTTTAGCAGTTTTCTGAAAGAAATGAACATTTTAAACTGATTTACTCTCTAGATGGGGCGCCTGGGTGGCTCAGTCATTGGGCGTTTGCCTTCGGCTCAGGAGCCCCGCGCCGGGCTCCCTGCTCGGCGGGAGGCCTGCTTCTCCCTCTCCCACTCCCCCTGCTTGTGTTCCCTCTCTCACTGTGTCTCTCTCTGTCAAATAAATAAATAAAATCTTAAAAAAATAAAATAAAATAAACTGATTTACTCTCTAGGAAAACTGACCTCTAAATGTCCAATTTCTCATTTTTTGTAATTATAAAGGAAAGCCACAAACAATAAAATATTAAAACAGTTTAGTTCTCAGAAAAACACAGAAGATGGTTACAAAATGAGCTAGAGTAAGATTTCTTAGTAAATTGTTAAGAACCAACCTTGTGGAAACTTTGGATCCCCTTTGTCTTTTTCTGTTTGATTTTCTTGTATTCCTGACAAGTCAACTCCTGTCAGGTTTTCTTTAGCATCAAACCAGTCTTCACTTATTTCTCGATAATTTTTGCAGTCTGAGAAATTGAATACAAGTAGCTATGAATTATGTATGTTAAACTCTGAGAAATTAAGCTTCTCAGAATTAATCAGCATGAGGACAATTACTAGTTTTATGTAAAAATAAGTATCAGCAAAATATAAACTAAGCATAAAGATTCTTTGAGATTTTTTGCTAGCCCCGAATAAAAAATACTATTCTGAGTGATCTGCTTCCCAGTTTTCTTTTAATTAACACTGATTCCTAGCTCATTAAAAGCCTTATTTTTCTCATTTTTAAATTATCCTTTATTGGTGAAGAGACACATTTTTATACACAGAATAAACAGTAAACATCTTTAAAAAGGGATTAATCAGTACTGCAGCTCTATTTCATTAAAAATTGAATTAATGATCTTTCCGGAATGATTATAATCTATTCTCATAGAGGACAAAAATAAAACAGTACAATTTACATAGATACAAACTGGACAGAAGAAAGAATTTTCAGATTGGAAAACATGAACCAGAAGAATAAATCTGTATTATTGACATTATCAAATATATTAAGTAACCTTACAGATGTTAAGTAGATGTAATAAGAACATACTTAATGTTCATAATCAGAATGATGCCATTCAGTCAATTAAAAATGTTGATTTTGATTTAATGAATGGACACTAGGAGTATTTTAAACTTTGCTACTTGGTTTTGGGCAATGACACAGGACTACATCTGTACACTGACCTTTGTCATCGAGTTTCAGCTGACTTAAGTCTACATCTATGTCACCATTTTTTAAACCATCTTCCTTGGGTAGTGCATCCTGTTTGGGATGACTGCTGTCAGACAGTAAGGACATCTGAGGATTAAAATAATAAAAACAACAATAAATACGGACTAACGGTTACTGCACTGTTATTATGTGGCAGGCACTCTTCACTAACATTGTTCAGTCCTCATGACAATGAAGGCAATGAAAGCAAAATCATTTTCTTAGGTCAGCAAACTGAAAGCAACTAACTTCCTGCTTTATGTTGGTCACACTTAACAAGAAAAGGATTTGAACTCAGCCTGTGTGTAGTGACTGACAACACTACCATTATTTAGCAAAGTGTGGCACACACACACACAAGGAGTACTTGAGATGATTTTCAGAAGTGCTCTACTCTTCACATTAACAATTAACAGTAATACATTTAATGTAATGTGTGCTTATATATACCTTTTATTTACAAAAAGTGGCGTTTCTTTCCCATATTTAATAGTTACTTCTTACACATAAATTTATTTAAAAAGGAGAATCATTTAGGGGCGCCTGGATGGCTCAATCAGTTGAGTGTCTGACTCCTGATTTCGGCTCAGGTCATGACCTCAGGGTCACGGGATGCAGAACCCCGTATCGGGCTCCACGCTCAGCAGGGGGTCTGCTTGAGGTTCTCTTTCTTCCTCTCCCCCTCCCATCCTCCGCTCATGTGCGCTCTCTCTAAGATAGATCAATAATCTCAAAAAAAAATCATTTAAAGAAAAATACAAAGCAAGTAACATTATAGGTAATACATGGCTATGGAAAATTGTGAAGATGGTACATGAGTAGCTGACATTTAGCAACACTACCCTCCACTGTGCTGGTTTTCACACATAACCTGTTAATTTAATGAGACAGGTATTAAAATTTCATCCTAACTTATCATAGGTATTGTCTTATAGCCCAAACTAAGATTATATAAAAATTATTATATCTGTATCTTATATTTTTAAAAATAATTTATTGTTCTCCCAAATAAGCAGGTTATATCATTGTTACCACTACAATGATGAAAAAAAATCCTCCAGAACATTATGTACCATTAAATGAATGTGTTTTAGCAAATTGTATAAGAAATGTGAGACTATAAAAATCCGGTTTTAGATGTTAAATCTTTGTCGGAAACGGAGATTTTTTTTTTTTAATCAAGTAGAACGATGGAATACATAATTTGCTAAAGTAATTTACTTTTAATCATTTGTTAATAGGAAAGTATATAACTCAATAAACTATTTTACTTTTGGCTTTGAAATGCATCTTATTATTTAAGACTACCCAAATGGCATAACCTCAGGGTGAAGACCAAAATCCGAAAACAGCAACAAAGTTCAGCTTTTCTACGGCACTGCCTCACTTCACAAGGAATAGAGCCTGTGTTTCTATCCCACTTCACACTCTGCAGAGTGCTCTTACACAGACTGTTACCGGACACACAATTCCTTAGGGGACAGAGAGATCAAGAACACCTGTGAAAGGCATTTAAAAACTAATTTCGTCATTTCAATAAAGAAGGAATTAAGCTTTTGCTTTGTCTAAAATGAATGAGGTATTACTTTACCTCATGAGATGCAGGTAACATTTTACTAGTTTTAAGCACACTGCATCGGCATGACGGTGGCCATAAGTCATGGTTGCCTTAGACAGTTCAGGATTATAACCACTGTCATGGTGAGTCATTAATGTCACTGCCTTTCATCCTCAGCAGTCTCCTGGTTTGATGGTCACCTTACTGAACAGATACCACTGACATCTGTTTGATCAGGACATTATGTTCCTTCTAATCAGTTATATCCCTCAAGTGGTAGTACACAAAGCCAGCTGAGTGAAAAAAAAGATGTGAGAGCTTCCGAAAATTATGGTTTATTTTGCTTAAGCCATAAAATTACAGATTTACACCAATGAACTATTTTTTAAAATCTCACTTGAGAGAGTGTCTTTTTTAGGCTTGAAGAGACGTTGACATCACGTGTACTTTGATTATCTACTTCAGGATCTGCTTCTGAAAAGCTAAACAGACAAACATTTCATTAAATAGCTTATCGATGTTCTGAAAAAGGACCAACAGAAAACTCTAAGTTAACCGAATTTAGCAATTTTTAAGATCTAATGAATTCTACATTAGATGAAACCATAACTTACACATGTGACTCTTCTTTCATTAGCTGGAAAGAGAGAAAAGGGAAGAAAAGTCTTTTAGTTTAAAATGTATTCTGTGCAAACAAGAGTAAAATTTTAATTATAAAACATACATACACACCGTAGAAGCAAACGTAGAGAAGGCCGATAATAATTTTGATTCCACGGACAGCGGGGGCAGCTCTTCCAGAGGCATGCCCTTGTGTATTTTTTCTTTCAAGCTCTCATACCTAACCTTTAAGTCTCCCAAAACAGACAGTAGTGCTGATCCTAATTCCTTCTTAGTAGAATTACTTGATAAATTTCTGTTCAAAAGTCAAATTTACAAAACTCCTTAGGCACAAGTCATCCATTTAACACTATTATATTATACGCTGAGTTCCAACTCTACCAGATCTCTACAGATTTTTTTCTTTTAAATATTTAGTAAAAGAAAACCAAAGAAGATGTTTTTCTAGGGGTAGCAGAAGCAGCCCTCAGTATATAAGCTAGAGAGACTGTGGCAGGATGTCATGCAAAACTGTGCTACTGACTTCAGCCGTACTTGGGACTTTATAAAGAAACATCCAATCTATCGTTTCACTGGATTCTGCCATCCTGACATACCCTGCTGCCTCCCCATGAAATTAAAATGTATGACTTTTTAAAGTCCATTACCCCTAGGCCAGCTAACAAAACCCAGTTACAATCTACCCCTCACTTTGCCTTTCAAAAATAAAAATTAAAGAAATTTTCTGGTATAAATTTAAAGTTTGTAATAACTTTCTAAGAAAATACAGATTTAAAATTAACAATCACCTATTTACCCCTGCCCTGTTTTCCACTAGGAGTTTGTAAATATCAGTGCAGTGGCGGTGACACATCTGATAGTGAACATTTAAAAGGTGCAACTCTGCTTTGATGGCTCGCTGCATGATTTTCTGACAGCACTTTGATGGCAAACTCTTCGCCGGCTCCTTAGAAAGTTGACATTCCCTTTAAAATAAAAGACTGGATTAGGTAAGATTCCAAATATTTTTCTCTGTTAATGACATGCCTCTCAAAGAGATTTTAAATTTCTTAAAATTTTCTGTCAAGTTTAAATCAGTTTCTACTAAGATGGAAAGGCTGTAGGAAACATTACATCTTCAGAAAATAAGGATGTCAAGTCAAAGTAAATATATTCTTTCTAGCAGTCAAGGAAGTAAAAAAGTTTCCACTTTATACTTTCTTTTACCAAAAAAGGATTCTGAAGTACAGAATCAACTTTATTTATCCATAATCAATAGATTTTCAACCTAAATCAAGCTTTGGCCAATGTTTTTTAAAAGTTATAAGCATTCTGGATAGAAATGGTTCTTAAATGTATTATCTCTCTCTCTCTTTTCAAAATATTTATTTATTTATTTGAGGGAGAGCGAGCAAGGAGCAGATTAAACTCATTAGGAGAATGAAGAATGAGTGAAGGAAAAAGTAAAGGAACTCAGAGCATGAAAACGAATTTGGCTTCTCGGAGACCTGCCCTTTCCTCTCTGAACCCCCACCCCAGGTTCTCCACAGATGCAGAGTAAATTACACAATGAATTAAAATCAAGATTAAAATACTCCAGTGAAAGCAGCTATTTACTTCTTCAAATATGTGAAGTTTTCCATAGGTGCTATTTTGTTTTGGTCTAGAGAGGGATCAAATGAAGGAAAATGGAATAATTAAATCAGTATAGATTTGGGTTGAATAAATAAAGATAAGACGCCATGAGTTTCTGAAGGAATTATTGAGATAGAATCTTAGTAAGTGAAAAGCTTTGAAGTGGTGGCTCAGTTGGTTAAGCGACTGCCTTCGGCTCAGGTCATGGTCCTGGAGTCCCGGGATCGAGTCCCGCATCGGGCTCCCTGCTCGGCGGGGAGTCTGCTTCTCCCTCTGACCCTCTTCCCTCTCATGTGCTCTCTATCTCTCATTCTCTCTCTCTAATAAATAAATAAAATCTTTAAAAAAAAATAAAGTTATACATTATCCTAATATTTATTTATTTGAAGGCAAATGGCTGAAATAGATGATCTCTTAAAGTCCCGTTTAGCTATTATCCCATATGGTTAAACACCCTACAAAAAAACCAAATTACTGTTTTGATTTTTTCCCCATGTATATCTGCAGGTTTATACATCTGATTTACCTTTCAGGATGTTTATTTAAGTCTGTGATAGCAGATGTTTTTCTTAATTCCAGGGGATCCTGGAAAACATGATTTAAAATGAAATTAGAAATAGATCACAAATAATATATGTTGTATCTGGAGTTCCAAACTGGTAAGATGGAAAATTCCAATTTCTAATTGACTTGGTGGCAACAGCTGCCACCAAAGGAGGACAGAGTTTGGCAGCAATCTATTCACCTTTCTCCTCATCCAGCATTTCCTCACAAAAGCCTTAGGGACCCCTGTTATAATTCAACAAACCATTTATTTTATCATACACAGGCTCTATATAAGGTCAAATAAAATTTTATTATTAATCATATTGGCTTTACCTTATTTAGGAGATTTCCATTAGGTTTTGAACTGTCAACGGAGAGAGATTTTCCCAACGATCCTTTTGTCGCAGCCCCTGGTGCATCGTCATCATTCTGACTGCATGACCAATCTGTATTACAAGCCACGCTTCTCTGTTTCTCACTGGGCCATTCACCAGGCCGTGTTTTGTTCATCATTGTGATCTCTGTATTGCTTGAAGTAGATGCTACAGAAGATCTTGCACTTGTTGCCCTGCTGGTTGTGAAACAAGCCCTAAAATCAGTGCTAACATCCACTGTCTGATTAACTGTCACTATCCCGTTTGCTGCATCTGTCACTAATTTGGGACGTGTTCCTTCTATATTGTGAAAGCAAGTTTTACTTGTGGTACTGCCATCAGCAATCTTCAGGGAGATATGTTCTACTGCCTGACTATCTTTGACTGCAATCCTCGGGAGAGTAACAGAAAAATCTAAGGCTGGATTAGGAGTATTTTGTAGGCTTTTATAATGTGAATATCCACAGGCAGAAATTACTGAATCGTCAAAAATAGAGGTCCAGGATGTGTGACAATCTTTACAGGGCTGGAATAATGTCTGTGAAGATTTGTCTTGTTGTGATGTGCTAGGATTTTCACGGTGGTGCGACTTTTTGTTCTCAACGATTACATTCCCACAAAAATCTTTACTTTCAATTATTTGACATTTCATTTTGCCAGTGTACATTTTAGTTTTTAATGCTTTTTGAGGGATCAACAAACCACTCGTAGACTGAGATTCCTGGTTCTCAAGCGGACTACTCCCTAGTACAATTTCATCAAAGACTGTGTGGTACATTAAACTCATCTCTTGTTCCTTACACATTTCATGCTTTGGTTCATGATATTCTCTTAACGCAACGGAATTCTGAAACTTGGAGACATGAGGTGCATCTTCTTGTCCATAAACATCAATTGAATCTAAAGAGATGCTACAATTACTTTCCAATTTAACATGATTACTTTCTAAATTGCTAGCACATTCAACTTCATAACCTGAATTTCTCAGTCTAACAACTTCCAGATTAGGTATGTTCAATGTTTTCATTTGGTCAAAAGATAAATGGGTACTTATGTACTCTTGCTCTTCTGCAATGTGATATTCCTGCTGTGAGTCTTCATCTATATCATGCTTTTCTGCATCTTCAGCAGTTTCTTTATAATCATCATCTGAAATCTTATAGGTTCTTTCCAAGCCAATAATTTTATTACCTTGATATTCCAAAATATCAAAAAACACTCCTTCTCTTTTCTGCATTTCAGAATCTACTTCTGAATTTAAATGAATGAGACTTTCATTCTTTAGTTTCGACTCTGAATAATGTATAGAGTATGTTTCATTCAAGAAAGCAATACTGTCCTCAAACCCACTAGACTGCATGCTCTCCCTGTTAGGATCTAGACTCCCGGTACAAGATAGCTCCAATAAATCCATTCGGTCAGTACTGCTGACTTCTTTGTCATTAGCTCTTTTTTCTAGTGCCAAGGAATCCCAGTCATCATCAAGAAAAGCCAATTTGGCTTTGTTACAACCATTGGAAGATAATAACAAATCTTCTTTCTTAGGATTAGAAGGTGCATCTGATTTAAAAAAAAGAAGAAGAAAATGTTGGCATCATTAACAATACAGAAGCTAAACACCAGAAAAACCTTAGATATGATCTGATCAAAGCTCTTCCCAATATAGGAATACTTTTTACATTACCCATGACAAATAACCCTTACGGTTGCTGCTATGCACTAAATTTTATTCCCCTCGAAATTCGTATGTCTGTCAAAGCCTTAACTTCCAGTGTGACAACTGGAGATGGGGCCTTTGGGAGGTAATCAGGGCTAGATGAGGTCACAAGGATGGGGCCTTCAGGGTGGGATAAGTGCCAGAGAGCTTGCTCTTTCTTTCCACCGTGTGAAGACACTGCAAGAAGGGAGCCATCCACAAGCCAGGAAGAGAGCCCTTACCAGAACCTGACCACACTGGCACCCTAATTTGGACTTCTAGCTTCCAGAACTGTGAAAAAATACATACATATTGTTTAAACCACCCAGACTATGGTATCTTGTTATGGTAGCCCCAGCTGACTGAGATAATAGCCAAGATTCTTCTTGAATTCTTTCAGTGGCAAGGTGTTTATTATTTATAAGGCAGCCACTCTATAATCTTTCGGTGCCTCCTAACGACAGCCTCAGGCGTTGCAGAAACAAAAGGAAGATGACATTGGCACTGCACCCAAGCACTTACGGCTTTCCTAAGGGTCACAGAGAAGAAAAGGACACTTACATGAAATACAGTGACAGAGTTGTGTTAACGAGCGGGAAAATGCTTGAGAAGAAAGAAGAAGTAAACTTCAGAGGAAACTTCACATTTAAAAAGTGTTTTGAAACAAAACAGTTATTTTAGGCAAATCAAACAGCATGCACATAGAAAGTTAGCTACATGAAAGAACATGGCATTTTCAGGAAATTGTAAGCCACTCTGGAATACAACACCTCTATGGAAATGACAGGAGCTATGAACAGAAAGAGGCCTTTTATAATGTGCTAAGAAGAATGGCTCTTACTCTAAGGCAACAGACAACTACTGAAAGCTTCTTAAGAGGGTAGTCATGAGAACAGAATAAGTTTAGATAACCGTGGCGACAGTGAGAACAAAGGCTTGAAGGGGAGACTGAGGCAGAGAGACTAAGTACAGAAGAGGGATGAGAAGATGGTATAAAAGCGCCATACTGACAAGACTTGGTGGTTGATTAGGAATGGGAGATGAGGGAGAGATGATGGCTTTTGAAATTCTTTGGATTAAGAACATAATCAGAACCACGTTTTATATCAAGATCCAGTACACACACACACATATGTATGTATATAAGTGAAACAAAAATCCTACAAAACAGTAACTACTCAATGTCCAACGTATTTTGGTATTTTCTGGTCTGTTTAATTTATTTTAAAAAAGCTGATCGCAATCAGCTAAATTGATTTCATGACTACCAACTGGTTACCACCTGCTTGAACATCATTCTGAGATAATGCTAAGGTTTACCACTTGGTATTACAGTTGAATGGGCATATTTGGAGCTAAAGGGATAGAGGCACTCTATAAAGAGGAAGAGAGAGAAAACAGGGTAGGGGAGGGAGGAGATACTGAGGGGTCAGTTCCAAGCAAGTGAAGTTTGAGGTCAGTGATAAAACACCCACATGTGAGTATCTGATAAACTATTATAAATATGGGGTTGGAGCAAAGGCTAGAAGTGTCAGCTTCACTTTTAAATTTATCTGTTTTTCTTAGGGATTTGTATAGGAGTTAGTTATGTATTCTGGATACTAATTCTTTGTTTTTCATATTTATAATATGAGAGACTTTTTCCTAGTTTATTGCTTATCTTTTAACTTCCTATAAAATCTTATACTATATGCTTTTTAAGATTAGTTAAATGGATCAGTCTTTTCTTCCCTGACTTCTGGGTTTTGTCTTTCTGGCCTTCTCTACCACAGGATTATAAAAGTATTCTTTTATATTTTATTCTAATATTGTGTGTGTGTGTGTGTGTTAAAACCACATATATTCATAAGCATAAAAACTTAGTCATCTTGCTTTTTATGCTCTTGTTATTTCTTATTTTCTCATCTACCATTACCATAGAAAAAGAAATTTCTGATTTGGGTGAAGACAAAACATCTACAACTTGGGTAGCAGAGGCCAACCTGCCCACCTTCCACTTACCACCCTGAAGGCCTGGCTGGATAGAAACCCTCTCTTCTGGCTCACCTTTTCTTTCCTAAATGTTCCATTTACCCGAGAGGTCCTGTGAAGGCTGCCCATATTCACCAGAAATCACCTGAGTGAGTTTGCTAAATTGAAAACACGCTGAATCTTACCACCTTACTAGGAGAAAGGCTTAAAAAGTAGCAACGGTGGACAGGGAACTGCCTTGCCCAATTACAGTTAGTACCTCTCTCCACCCAGAATAAAGCCAACTGGCCTGGCCCCTCACCTTTCTGGATGTTTCCTCCATTATAGTGGGAGCCTTTACCAGAAGCTATCCCCACCACGGCAGTAGCCTGCATCTCTCAAGGATGTGCACTCTAGAAGAGGGATAAATATCAAACTATTATTAGACTTGGCATTATATTTTAAAAACTATTAGAAAATCAAGAATTTAACAAAATGGCAATTATAATCAGAGATTCTAATATAAGAGGGCTGATAAAACTGGTAGAACATTTGAACAACTTTTGTAAAAGCATCAACTGACAGCTAATAGATTATATTATTTAAACAGACATGGCACATTCTTTTAAAATTTCCAAGGAACATTAAAGGATAATATATTAGGCTACCAAAAAAGTCTTAATCCAAAAAACAGAGTATTGAAGGCTACAGTGTGACCCGCTGATATCAAATCTGGATCAAAAATGTTTCAAAACAAATTATAGACCTATTAAAGCTCAATGAAACAGTATATCCATATCCGTACAATGGAGTATCTTTCAGCAACAAAAGGAACAAACTGAGGCGTATAATCTCATGGAGTAATCTCAAAAACATTATGCTGAATGAAAGAAGTTGGACAAGAGATCACATATTGATGATTCCATTTAAATGCAATGTATAGGGCTGCCTGGGTGGCTCAGCTGTTAAGTGTCTGCCTTCGGCTCAGGTCATGGTCCCAGGGTCCTGGGATTGAGCCCCGCATTGGGCTCCCTGCTCAGCGGGAAGCCTGCTTCTCTCTCTCTCACTCCCCCTGCTTGTGTTCCCTCTCTCACTGTGTCTCTCTCTGTCAAATAAATAAAAAAAAATTTTTTTAAAAATGCAATGTATAGAAAAAGCCAATTTATAGAGACAGAAAGTAGAATAATGGTTGCCTCAGGTAGGGGATGGGAAGAAGGGTTAACTGTAAATGGGTATCAAAAAAAACCCCCAACAACTGTAAATGGGTATCAGGGATCTTACTGGAGGGATTAAAATGTTCTAAAGCTGATTTATGGTATGATGGTTGCACCACTTGGTAAAGTTACTAAGACAAACTGTACATTTGAAAGGAGTAAAATATACCTCAATAAAGCTGTTTTTAAAAAGTCACTGACAAGGACTCTTTGAATCCAGCTGCCACATGCGGGGAAGTCCAAGCTAGTCACTTATAGGACAGTCAAGGCACCCCAATGGGTACATGAGTGACCCCAGAGGAGACCAGCAGAAGAAATGTCCAGCCAACACACATAACCATTTTGGGCCTTCTGGTTCCTAGTTATCTTCACTGTCTATACGTCTAAAAAGCTAAGGTATTGTCAATGGAATTCTGGTGACCAGGTGTTACAAAGGTTCCTGAGGAGTTTGAAAAAAAAAAAACAAAAACAAAAACTGATTTTGTTCTAATTCTCAACGAACTATTTCAATTAATGACCCTGAACAAATCATCTACGTTCGCTTGCCCTGGGCTACAATGACAAGACATTACAGCTGACCTTTGAATAACACAGGGGTTAGAGGCACCAAGCCCCCATGTGTAATTCTGACTCCCTCAAAACTTAACAATAGCCTGCTATTGATTGGAAGCCTTACCAATAACCTAAACAGTGATGAACACATATTTTGTATTATCTGTATTATATATAGTATTCTCACAATAAAATAAGCTAGAGAAAAAAATGTTAAGAATTTCATAAGGGGGGGTGCACAACTCTTGATTTTGGCTGAGGTCATGATCTCAGGGTCATGAGACTGAGCACCACGTTGGGCTCCACGCTGGGAATGGAGCCTGCTTAAGATTCTCTCTCTCTCTCTCCCTCTCCCCCTCTTTCCCCTTGCTCGCTCTCTCTAAAATAAAAGGGGGGGCACCTGGGTGGCTCAGTCGATTGGGCATCTGCCTTTGGCTTGGGTAGTGGTCCCAGAGTCCTGGGATTGGGCTTCGTGTCAGGCTCCCTGCTTGGCAGGGAGTCTGCTTCTCCCTCTCCCTCTGCCCCTCCCCACCACTCATGCTCTCACTCTCTCTCTCAAATGAATAAATAAAATCTTTTCAAAAAATTAAAAATTAAAAACAAAAAAAATGGGGCGCCTGAGTGGCTCAGATGGTTAAGTGTCTGCCTTAGGGCTCAGGTCATGATCTCAGGGTCCTGGGATTGAGCCCCGCATCGGGCTCCCTGCTCAGTGGGGAGCCTGCTTCTCCCTCTGCCTCTGCCTCTCTCTCTCTGACTCTCATGAATATATAAAGAAAACATTAAAAAAAAAAACCTAAAAATTAAAACAAACAAAAAACAAAAAAAATTTCATAAGGAATATACATTTATAGCATAGTACCATATTGAAAAAATCTGCATATAAGTAGAGCCACGCAGTTCAAACCCATGTTGTTCAAGGGTCAATTGTATAAAGCAGAGAGCTTACTTGATGGAGACAGCCTGTCTGGCTTTGAATCATGACTTAGCTACTTAATAAACAGTACATACTTCAACAACTGAAAACAAATTAATGATGAGAGCACAGAGTTCCAAAATATATAGGACCTGGTCAAAGTTATAACCAAAAGAAGACACAGCTTTAGATGCTTGTTATTAAGTCTAACTAAATAAGCTAATAAGATGTCAACTCAAGAATCAAGAAAAGAGCTAAAGTACTTATATCAAAAAAGAATTAGTTAAGACAAAAGCAGAAGTGACCAATTTGAAAAGAGTAAAAGTGATAACTAAAACTAAAAGCTATTTGAAAAAATAAAGTACATAAATATCAGACAAATCTCACTGAGAGGACTGAAACACAAGTTAGCAATGAGAAAATAAGCATTTTAGTAAGAGGTTTCTAAAAAGAACTTATAAAACCTGAGATTGCTATCTATACTTCTGATGGATAAATGAAAATTTAACCAAAACAGACAATTTTCTAGGTAAATAGTTTTTAAAAAACGTACAGAAAAAGCTAAACAGAGATCATAGAAAAAAATTGAAAAGGCCATCAAAGATCTATCCTATATCAATTCCTATCAAGCCTACTAAATTCTTACTTGATCTGTGTAAGCAGGGAAGTTCTAGGTCAAGTGAACAAAACTCTAACCTGAATCATAAAAATAGAGTTCTGATCCCTCAATCAATTCCGAGACCTGTGCCAGTTTGTAGACCCAGAACCCCTTGAATGAAGGGGACGCTGGGTTCCTCTTGGGGAAGGACCCTAAACATACGCTACTAAAAATTAAAACTATTAATCTTTCTCCTAGCTTTCTCAAAAGGTTAGCCTTTTACCGAACTAACTGTATAATTGGGGAAAAGGAAATAATCAGACTACTGGCTCTGAAGTGACACTGATTTTAGGAGACCCAAAATGTCACTGTGGCCCAGCCCTCCAATCAGAGTACGGACTTAAAGAGGTCAGATGATCAATGCAATTTTAGCTCACGTCTATTTTGCGGTGGGTCCACTGGGTCCCCGAACCCATCCTGTGGTTATTTCCCCAGTTTCAGAATGCATTATTTTAAGAGACATAACAGATTAACCGAAGGCAGAGTCCTCTCAATAGTTCCCTGACCTGTTAAGTGAGGGCTATTATGGTGGGAAAAGCCAAAAGGAAGGCATTAGAATCACCTCTACCTAGAAAAAGAGTAAATCTCTGAAGGGATTGCAGAGATTAGTGCCATCACCCAGGACTTGAAAGATGCAAGGGTTGTGATTCCCACATCCCCATTCAACTCTCATATCTGACCTGAGCAGAAGAGAGATGCACCTTGGACATGACAGTGGATTACCACAAGCTTCACTAGGTGGTGACTCCAACTGCAGCTGCTCAACCAGACGTGGTTTCATTACCTGAGCAGGCTAACATCCCACGGTAGCTGGTATGCAGCTATCGATCTGGCCAGTGTGTTTCGGGTAGGAAGCCAGGCTACCACAGGGCTCGTGTTGTATGTTTTCTTTCCTTCAGAAGTCACAGTCCTGTACTGCCTATTGCCCAGTGTCTGGAAACAGCTGTTTCATACACAAGGCCTAGTTTTCAAGTTGTTTTGTGGCAACATGATAAATCCAATTTCTGTTCTACAAAATTATGGCCAGAATCTTCCATATGCTTGAGAGTATGTTTTCTGACTACAGTACGATTACGAATGATAAAAAGGGTAACTTCCCACATATTTTTTTTGGTGGGGGAGGGGCAGGGCGGGAGGGACAAAGAGATCCCAAGCAGGCTCCACGCCCAGCACAGGGCTCGATCTCACAACCCTGAGAACATGACCTGAGCTGAAATCAAGAGTTGGACATTTAACGGACTGAGCCACCCTGGTGCCCCATACTTTCCAAATATTTAGAAATTAAACCAAACACTTGTCAATAATTCATGGGTAAAAAAACATGTCACAATGGAAATTAAAAAAAATTTTGAACTAAATGATTATAAAAATACAACATATCAAAATTTGTAGTGCTTAGAGAGAAATGTATAGCTTTAACAGCTTATACTAGAAAAGAAAAAAGGTTTAAGATCAGTGATTTGTCTTAAGAAACTAGAAAAATTAAAACAAATTAAGCCCAAAGTGGGATAGAAATAATGAGATGTAAATAGAACAAAAGTAAATGAATAGATAAAAATGAACACAGCCAAATCTTTGAAGATTATGAAATTTATAAACCCTTCACAGAACACTTAATTAAAAGAGCAAACACAAATTGCCAATATCATGAATAAAGAAGAATTACTATAGGAATTTACATACATTAAAATAATAAAGGATATAATGAACAACATTATCTGATAAATCCTACAACTAAGGCACAACCTTCCAAAATGGATACAAGAAGAAATAAATAATCTGGATAGTCCCATATCTCTTCAGAAAATTAAACCTGTAATTAAAAATTTTCCCTCAAAGAAAATTCCAAATGCAGATGGTTTCATTGATGAATTCTATCCATCAACGAAGGTAGAAGTCAAGTCAGAATTCAATTTTAACCAAAGTTCTTTAGAAAGGTGAGGAAGAGGGAAGACTTCCCAATACATTTTACAGATCCAGCAGAACCTTGACACCAAAATCTAAGAAGGATAGTGCAAGAAAAAAATAAAAAGACCAACAGCTCTCATGCACATAGATTCACATATCCTAAAATAATTTTTTGCAAAGCAAATCCAGCAACATATAAAAGCAGTTACTGACCACAGTAAGAGAATAAAGGAGAAAAATCACAGGATCATCTTAAGAGATGCAGAAAAAGAATTTGATAACATTTGTTAAAACTCAGAACCTATTCATGGTAAAAGCTCTTAGCAAACAAAAAACAGTAAGGAGGGCGCCTGGGTGGCTCAGGCGGTTAAGTGTCTGCCTTCGGCTCAGGTCATGATCCCAGCGTCCTGGGATTAAGTCCCACATTGGGCTCCTTGCTCAGTGTGGAGCCTGCTTCTCCCTCTCCCACTCCCCTTGCTTGTGCTCCCTTTCTCTGTCAAATAAATAAATAAATAAAATCTTAAAACAAAAACAAAAAAACAGCAAGGAATGTCCTCAATCTAATAATGGGTATCTACAAAAAACCCAAAAGAAAAAAAAAACTGTATGGCTAACATATTTGATGGTAAAAATTAAACAATTTCTGTCAAAAACAAGACATTTGTTCTCTTACCATTTATTTCATGTAGTAGAGGTCCTAGGCAGTACAATAAATGCCTATAGATTGGAGGGAAAAAAAAGTAAAACTGTTTTTATTCACAGATCATATAACAATGTACAGAGAAAAAACAGATATAGAAAGAAACTACTCAACTAATAAGTAATTTAGCAAAGTTGAAAAATACAAGGTTAAGTGCATTTCTATCCTCTAGTAACAAACATTTGGAAAATGAAAATTTTAGAAGAGTATCATTTACAAAAGCATCAAAAACCATTAAAAACTTGGTGTTTAAATGAAATGAGAGATGTATAAGAATTTTATGTTGAAAACTACAAAACACTGCTAAGAGAAATTAAGGCAGAACTAAATAAAAGGAGGGATATACCATGTTCATGGATCAAAAGACTCAATATTGTTAAGATCTGTTCTTTACTAATTCAGCAACAGATTGACCACAATTTCAACAGATTGACCACAATTTCAATCAAAACTACAGAATGATTTTTTTTGGTAGAAGCTGACAATTTCATTATAAACTTACATGGAAATGTGATGAACCTAGAATAGCCAAAACAATTTAGAAGAAAGTTAAATGACATATGTTTCAAGACTTCTTTATAAGGCTACAGTATTTGCAGTGTAGTATTTAGACTAACAGATTAAGGAACAAATTATGAGAGTCTAGAAAGAAAGCCACTTAATTTTTGAGAAAGGGACTAATTCAATTCAATGTGGAAAGGAAGATCTAAAACATATTCAATATGGTGCCGACATAGCTAGATTTCTGAAAGGGAGAAAAAAATGCCTGCACTCCGTACTTTACATCTTATATGGTAACAGAAGTGAGATAGATCACATTTCTGAATGTAAAAAATCAACCTATAAACTTTCTCAAGAAAATATAGGAGAATATATGCATGCCTCTGGGGGAGGCAAAGATTTCTTAGAATACAAAAGGTATTAATTAAAAAGTTGTTAATTTGAACTTCCACAAAATTTTAAAACTTTTGCTCATCAAAAGACACCACTATAAAAGTGAAAAGACAAGACAAAGACTGGGAGAAAATAGTCACAATTTATATATCCAACAGAGGACTCTCACCCCAATTATGTAAAGAATGCACACAAATAAAATTTTTTAAAGAGATAGTCTAATAAAAAAGGGATGAAATACTTGGATATTACTTCACACATATGTAACACAAGGCATATGAATTGCTATTAAGCATATGAGAAAGTGCTCAGCATCATTAGTTATCAGGGAAATGCAAATTTGAATCACCAACATTCCACTTCACATTCCTCAGAATGGCCAAAAAAAAAAAAAAAAGACTGATAACAGCAAATATTGGTGAGGATGGGGACAAACTGGAATTCATAACAACCTTGCTAGAGGGAATGCAAATTGTTAAAACCATTTTGAAAAACTGTCTGGAGGTTTCTAATGATGTTAAACATATACCTACCCTATTACCAAGAAATTACATTCCAGTTTCAGGAAGGTATACCCACCCTTCTCTAGAGAATCATTCTTTAATATATGCTAAGTGTTGAGACTATAGAGGTGATCAGTCTCTGCCCTCATGAAACATGACAGACATATAACAAAGAATTTCCAGAAGTGGGATGGGAGAACAGAGAGGAAGCACATAATGCATTATAGGGTCCCTTTTCTCAAACTTGCCTGATATGGGAATCACTTGGGACACTCCTTAAAAATACAGATTCCAGGGCACATGGGTGGTTCAATTGGTTAAGCGTCCAACTCTTGATTTTGGCTCAGGTCATGATCTCAGGGTCGTGAGATGGAGCCCTGCATCAGGCTCTCTGATCAGTGTAGAGTCTGCTTGAAATTCTCTCCCTCTTCCTCTGCTCCTCTCCCCTTCTTGTTCTAGAGCAAGAGAGAACAAGCAGGGGAGATGGGCAAAGGGAGAGGGAGAAGCAGACTCCCCACTGAGCAGGGAGCCCGACGCAAGAGCCATTATGTCAGGTCATGATCTCATGGGTCGTGGGATTGAGCCCTGAGTCAGGGTCCATGCTCAGTGGGGAGTCTACTTGAGATTCTCTCTTTCTCTCTCTCTCCCTCTGCCCCTCCCCCTGCTCTCTCTTTCTCAAATAAATAAATCTTAAAAAAAAAAAAAAGATCTATTCTAGACTAAGGGTTAGAAAGGCTTTCCTGATGAATTGTCTTTTAAACTAAAATCTGCAAGACGAGCAAGTAGGAGTCTGCTATCATATTGATTACTAAATCGATTTAGTATTCACTTTGACATAAAGGATATAATGTCACACAGAAATGTATTTTGAGTTTTTAAAACTGAGAGTTGTATTTAAAAAGCAATTAAAAACTAATATTCTAGTTGAGTAAGAAAAACATAACCTATATCTACTTTGGATTTCACAGATAATTAAGTAGACAATAATATAGCATGGTTACATTGATAAAGGTAAGGAAAAGCTTGTAAAGAAAGTGACATATAAGCTAAATCATAAAGGTCACATGGGGCCAACCACTAAGAAAGCAACTCAAAGGGAACAGAGCTTCTCAAGTTAAAAGAACAAATATGGGATGGCCCCCAGGTAAAATATGGGTAAAAGGAGGAGACAAGATAACTAGACTTAATATGTATAAAAGTGAACTCATTATCATTGATGGTATACTCACTGAACTAGGAACCAAGGAGAAGGAACACTTTTATATTATTTTGCTTCTGGATGGGAAGAAATGGAGATGATGAGTTCATTTAATTCATAAAAGTTTTAAGTGACTGTAACATGTACAAACTGAAATAGATATGCAGTTGTGAGGCTTAGGAATAGTCTGGGCTGGAAGTATTCAACCTCCAATTTAATGTTTCAGAAATTCTTTTTAGCTAATACCGGACAAAATTTGGCCTACTATCAAGAGCCTACTCGTCTTGTATTATTTGGACTGCCCTAAGTCTGGCTAGTGGCTGTTAATCTTTGTGGATATGGAGTTTCCAAAGATTTGGTAGAAGTCACACACTCACTTCCCTGAGAACATACACTTACACACACGTATAATTAAAGGATTTGTGGACTTTTATACTACGTCTAAAAACTTCTAGTAACTCCTGGCTTAAGGGATTTTATTTAAGTAAAGATCCTACTCTCGGAATTCCATGTATTTAAAACAAAGGGTAAGATGAAGAGAAAGCTAACTTATCAAAATAACTGACATTAGAATATACCAGCGGCTTCTTATTTTTTGGACTCAGGAAGTCTTCACATTGTTAAAAAGTATTGAGAACCCCAAGGAGTGTTTGTTTATGTGGACAGTATCTATTAATACTGATGTTAAAATTAAAATAGAAAAATTTTAAATATTTATTCATAAACACTAGCAAACCCATTACTGAAGTAACACTTTAAATGTAAAACTGCATATTTTCAAAAATGCTAGTGAGAAGAGCACTAACATTTGGTAAACCTCTTTAATATCTATTGTGACAAGATGGATTCTCATTCATGTCTGATTCTGCATTCAGAGCTGCATTCAATGTGTTGCAAGCTTCATTCCTAAATATGTATAGATATCCAACATCGAAGACTTTGACAAAAGGAAAAATTTTGGTATTAAAAAAACACTTGCAAATCACACATCTGATAAGGGTCAACTATCCAGGATATATAAAGAACTCTTACAACTCAGCAACAAATAGACAAAGAACCCAATTTTTAAAATAAGCAAAATAATAATACACTTCTCCAAAGATATACAAATGGCCAATAAACACATGAAAAGATTCTCAATATATCAGTATTCATCAGGGAAATGCAAATCAAACCCATAATGAGATACTACTTTATATCCACTAAGATGGTTATTTAAAAAAAAAACACACACACACAGAAAACGTGTGTTAGCAAGGGAATGAAGAAACTGGAACCCTCCTACCCTGCTGGTGAGAATGTAAAACAATTTCCAGTTTGGAAAACAATCTGGCAGTTCCTCATTAAGTTAAATACAGAATGACCATGTGATCCAGCAATTCCACTCCTAGGTATAGACCCATTTTTATTCTGTTCTCTCCGTTCTCATTTACGAAACGATTCCCTCCTGTGTTTTCAATCCCAGAACCGAGCCAGAAACCACAGGACTCTCCCCTGACACCTCCTTCGTCCCTACCAGGTACTGGCAATTTTAACATCTGACATCTTTGTCAAGGGACCACTGATTCTCACAGAGATCGCAGCAACAACCTCCTGTGGGGCCAGAATAATCTTTCCAGAATGCGAATCTCATCAGTTCAACCTCCTGCTCCAAGCTCAGCAACCGACTTGTCACTGTTCTTTGGATGCAGATTGAAAACTCCACGAAGAAGGGCCTGGGCTCCGCATTAACCCGGGCACCTTGGGTGCCCACACCTGCCACCACACTTCCTCGACAGGTGGGCCACGCGCGTTCTCCTTGGCCGCCGCATCCCCCTTCCCGCCAACCACTTGCAACTCCCGTTCCACCTGCGGGTCCCACTCTAGACCCCCGTACGGCGGGGGAACCCTTGCCGGGCTGGCCAACATCCCACACTTCGGGGAGTCCGGGGCTGCTGTCTGTCTATCCAGCCGTGACCGCCCACCGCTGGGGACGCGCGAGCGCCTGTCACAACGATGGGCACGCGGGTGGGTTTCCACCTCGCCCCAGGAAGTAACCGCATCTGCAGGACCGCGCCGCTACTTAACTCTAGGCTCGCTTTGGGGGCACCAAGTCCGCCTCGGCGCCTGCGAAGCGAGGCTGGGGGCCACGCTCGGGATCGAATGTATGGGTACCAAATTGGGGGGTTCTGGAACGCCCAGGCCACCCGGGAACGTGGAAATCCGGGGCCGCCAAGCCCCGCCCCGCCCCCAGCCGCTAAGGGGCCTAGCCACCGGGACCCGCCACGACTGGGCTTCGCTATAGTGGCCCCCCAGGGGCCCGGCCTGCTCCCCGCGGTCCCGAGTCCACGCCTGTCGCACCTCAGAGCCACACGGCCGCCGCCGCCGCCGCCACCGCGCGAGAAGCCCCGGAGCTCAGCGGCCGCCGCACCGCGCAGTGCGCTCCGCGTGCGGCCGCGGGGCGCGTCGGGTAACGGACGCCCGCGGACCGCCCGCCAGGCGGCGGGCGCTCCCATTGGTCGGCGCCGGCACGGGCGGCGCCGTGATTGGCCCAGCGCGCGGGCGCGGACGCGGGAACGAGGTGGCGGGCTGGCGTGGTGCGGAGGCGGGCGCGGGACACGGCCTCCCCGCAGGCGGAGCTCTCTCCTGTCCGGCAGCCCGAGGCCCTGGTCTGGATGGCGAGGTGGTGTCAAGCCACCGGACCGGAGAGTTGCCCCCTGGTGTGGGCCCAGCGCCCGCGGAGCCCGCCGCCCGCAGTGGCGGGACAGCCCTCACCAACAGGTGTCCCTTCTCATCGTGTCTGGCACGACGCCCGCCCCCGGGCGGTCCGCTAGAGTGCCCCACTCGGCTGGGGTGAGACGGCAACGTTGAAGGAAGCATCAAAACCCAGTAATCAAGACAGATAACATTTTAATTTCCTTTAAGGAAATCAAAAGTAGTGAAAAATCCAAGATGAACAAAGTATCCATATCGGCATTCCTAATTTTTCCTTTTGCATCAGGCTCTAGTATGGCTCCGCAAGACACCATATCCTGTCTTTAAAATGGGCGTATTTTTTTCATCCATCGTGAATTTTTTTGGCATTAGTTTTGATTTTTGCTTAAACCGTTGTTTCAAATTTCTCGATTTTTTTAAAGACTTTTTTTTTAAGATTTTATTTTTAAGTAATCTACACCCAACATGGGCTTGAATTTACTACCCTGAGATCAAGAGTCGTATGTTCTACCAACGGATCCAGCCAGGCACCCCTAAGTTTCTTTGTTTAAAATCGTTTAAGGTGGCATTAAAAGTTTAGTTTTCTGACACCATCTCCACATTCCCCACCAGCCCTGGGTCCGTGAGATCCTTGCTTCTCTTTGTCCAAGTTCTGGGAGTCTGAGTGTGTAGCCTGCACCACCACCTTTTCTGCCGGGCACCTCTACTGTGACTGGACTCACATAATTGATTCGGGGCTTAAACCGTTCTGATGTGAAGTTTTGCATTTTTATGAAATCTGTCAATCTCTTTGTGGTTTATAGCGCTGATTTTTTTTGCCCCATTCCACGTTCAGAATAATGGTATTTACACAACAGCTTTTACTTGCTTTTTATGATTTGATTTTTTACATTGTTTGTTCCTTATGACTTACATTTTTTAATGTTGTGAAAGTTACATGTGTTTAATGTAGAACATGCAGAAAAATGTAAAGAGGAAAACGGAAATCCTCTTGTAATCTCACAGAGCCTCCCTTTGGGTATTTTGGGGTAAGCTGCATCAAGAGAGACACCACTGAGACCTTCTCTCCTACAGACTTCAGTAACTTTCTGCTTATCCTCCTGTCCTGGCAGGAACTGTTAACACTTTATTCCACAAACACCTGTGGAGGTCCTGCTGCGTATCAGGCAGGTCCAGGGGTACAAAGCTTAAAGCAGTTCCTCTTAAAGAACATACAGTCTAGCTGATAGCAGAGAGAGCTAGAATGTGTGGAAAAGACCGAGCTGGAAAGCAGCCACACCAGCATGGGAGCTACATTCTGGCAGTCCCCAGAGAACGCAGCCCGCGCCCTGAGCTAGGCTGTGGCTCTCCCCTCACGGGGACCTGTCTGTCCTTGCACCTTTGTCATATCCATAGCTCCTGGCAGAAGCTACTCACTGGCCCATGGTCTTTTATCAAAATGATCTAGGCTAGTGGTATGTTTATTTTTTTTTAACTTCCAGATGACTATTAGAGTAACTGTGAGATTCACCCCCAAACAATTCAAAGTGATTTTCATAAGAAATGTATTGAATCTATAAATTTGGGAGAAAGTTACATCTTTATGATATTTATTCTTACTATACACCTCTCTAGTTTTTCATGTTGTGTGTCTCCTAGCAGAATGTATAGATTTCCTCGGATATAGGTTCTCGGGTTTTTTAGGGTTTATTACTACTGTTTTGGGGGACTTTTTTCCCACTGTTATGAATGAGATTCCCCATATTATCTAACTCTAACAGGTCAATGTTGAGATACAGGTTCCTAGGTATTAAAAGCTTGTTCTGGTGATTATTTCTTGCCTTCATTTGGCTTTTTGAGTCATTTGCGCTGTTGCAGTTACCTTTTCTGAAATGGGAGTTAGCAGCTTTAGCAGACTGGAATCACATTTTTCCCACGTATTTTGTTTTCACATTAATGCATTTATGGTTGCATTCTCCTGTTTTACTTTGCGAAATCTTAACTGTGCTAAATCTTGGGAAATTCCTTTTCTGGGTCTGGCTTTTTGTTTTATATTAGGTACACAGAAGCCAGGCATCTTTTTTATATTACCCCACAGACTGCCCAAACGGTTCATGGGAGGAGAGAACGATTGTTTTGTTCCTTTTATGTTCCTTTACCAAATTAGTACTAGATTTTTAAGATAGTAAATTAGGGACGCCCAGGTGGCTCAGTCGGTTAAACGTCCAACTCTTGATTTCGGCTTAGGTCGTGATCTCAGGGTCGTGAGATTGAGCCCTATGTTGAACTCTGCGCTGGGCGTGGAGCCTGCTTGGGATTCTCTCTCTGCCTCTGCCCCTCCCCCCCCCACGACTCGTGCTCTTTCTCTTAAAAAAAGAAAAAGCAAATTAAAAT